GAAGATGAACCATGCTCTGGTTGTCCATCCACTTAAACTGATAAATAAACACATTGCTCAAGTCAGAGATTTGGTGCATAGTGATTGATGTATAGCAATTAGGGACATTATTGAACATGTTCCAGTATCGTTTAGATCTTGTCAAGCAATTTTTAAAGATCATTTGGCTTGTGGCACATTGCTTCTCGAGTATAAAATCTGAAAACGTTAAATTTTTCTAAAAACATGTTTAAATGACAGAGGAAATGTTCTCTCAACACAAATCATTCTTAAAACGTATTATTATGGGTGATGAAACATGGATCTACACTTTTGACACTGAAATAGCTCAACAATTAAGTGAATGGTGCTCAAAAAGTGAAGCAAGACCAAAACAACCATGTCACAGTCAAAAAATCAAGGTCATGTTGGTTATTTTCATCAACTGTCGTGGTATTTGGCCAGTCTGAAGGAATTTCTGTTGCACAACTGTCAATAAAGATTATTTATTATTTGAGCATTGTGAATTGTTTGCTTGAAGCAATTTGTACAAAATAACCTGATTTGTGGTGAGAAAACTCATGGATTTTGCACCATAACAGCTGCTTACAATGCTCTTGTTGTTTAAGAATTTTTGACCAGAAATTCAACAAATATGATTCTACAAGCTGCATATTCTCCTGAAATGGCACAATGTGACTATGTTTCCTCAACTAAAATTTCTGCTTTATGATCACCATTTTGAGTCAACTGATGCCCTAAAACAAAATTTGCTGCAAATCCAGAAGGGAGTTTCTTGAAAACAACTTTAAAGAATGTTTTGAGGATTAGAAAAAACATTTGCATAAATGCATTACAGTGGGAGATGATTACTGTACTTTGAAGGGAAACAAAATAAATTTTGATAAATTAAAATCTTGCATTTTATTGAATCATTACATTCCCAATACACTTCGATCACAGGGGTATTTAATATCTCTGACTTGTTTAAACAAAAAATTTTCAATATTAGGAATATTACAATAATAAATGTTTCTACAAATAAGCAGTAAAATCTAAAACACTTGCAAATACAAAAACAAATATTATAATAAAAAATGCATATATTTTTATTAAAAATAAAAAGTTCTGTACCCTCATTAGTGTTTTCACACCATCTCTTTGGGGCAGTATCACCACTGGAATACAGTACACAATATAGAATACAGTATAACTAAAATTTTGCCATATAAATTTTTATGTATTTACTGACTTAGTTTAAAATTTATAAAATGAAAAATTATAAACACAGACTCAATATAGCATATAGCTTTAAAAATTATATATATATATATATGTGTATATATAAAATGGAAGAACTTAATTAAAAGCATATTCATCTTTTTTCTTCTATAGAAATTGAATAATCCATCATTTAAGGAATTTTAGAAAGTAATGGAAAACTTTTCTATTTTATTCACAATCAGAAAAGTATGCTTTCCCAGCTAAACAAAAATCATTATTGACATTACAATTTAAGATGAATCTATAAAAACACACACAAAACAGATGAAGACATACTGGAAATTTTAATTGTTAATATATTATGAAAAGAAAAACTAACAATATTTGCATTCAATCTATGAGAAACTATTAAATATATTCCCCAAATTTTTATAAAATTAATGCTAAATCAGACACACAGTATTTGAAATGTACAAACAATGAAGCTGCAAAATATATTTTCAGAGAAACATTCTTGAACTGTGTTTTAGTTAAAAATATTTGTTATATCAAATGACAAATTTTATTAAAAAGTATCTTGCTGCTACCTTATTGCAAAACTATTTAACGGTACAATGGAACTATGTTGTCTTATATCTGACAACTACAAAAAAATTCTGTTAGTTATAAATGTTATTCCTTATATATTAAAGTTAAGTTAAGTTTTTAAAAGTTGCATCCAAATAACGTCATAGATGCAACTAACACAATCTTGAAATTATTTGAAACAACACTAATACAAATTTTATCTGTCACAATTGTAATATGAACATTGTTTAAGCAATGTCTTGTGATTTTCATACATTCAGGAAACAGCTGTAATATCTTATCACATTGAAATTAATATTTGGGAGATTATAAATTTTTAGAAATTTATAATTAGATCTAGAACAGTAACTTCAATCTAAAATGTCAATGTGCTAAATATGAAGTTTTCAATGCTCAAGATGAAAGCCTAAGTTTGTCTTATTGAAAAGTTGTAAGATTCAAATTACAAGTAAATTTTGAGAATCAAAATATGTTAATAGATTCAGTTCATCCTAAAAATAAAAAGTTTATACTATAATCAATTATATAATAAAATTTGAAAAGTCTTTACTTACTTTAGGAAATTGAGTATTACTGAGAATAAAGATTAGTATAACAAAATTTTGTTACACTAAACTACTTTTCAATTTATTTGAAGAATAATGTATTAGTATTTTATCACTGCTAATAAACATTCCAAGAGATAAATGTGTTAAAACTTTGATTATAACCAGTCTAAGATCTTAACATATTTAGGATACAAATGCTTTAGTTACCATCTTAGAAAAAAAAGAAGTGATATTTTGATATAATTGTAATATATTTTAAAAATTAGAAAATTCATTATTTAAATAAAAAAACTCAGCAATGTTTTAAAAACAAAGATTTGGACATAATTTGATAATACATAAGATACATATTTCAACAGATTTTTTTTTTATTTAAAAATCCTGATTTTACTAATAAAAAATCATATATGTATTGGACTCAAAATAATATTTTATTCAAAAGTTAAAATTATTTTTGTAAATAATTTTTAATGTTTTGTAAATGTTGCCTAAAGCTATAATCAAGTTTTAAAGTGACTGAGTTACATCATATTTAAATTAATCATTAAAGTTTTTTTTTTTATATAAAATCATCATACATTTTTAGCATTAAAAATTTGTGTTTCTGATAAGTACAGTACATACCTTTAGATCATTTCTGTTGTAAGAAATAATTTTTATATGACAACGTCAACTTGATTATGAAAAATTCCAAGCATATAAGAGTGCAATGCCATGAAATTAAATTATCAATTATCTACTTGTTTTGATTATCATTTCTGAAGTGATAACATGACATACATACATACTGTATATTAAAACTATCTAAAAATATAAATGCATATTTAGTTTTAAAGTTTTGCAGAATTTAGCTTTTATTCTTGAATAAATCTTTAATATTAGAATATGAGAAAAATAGATAAATAAAACTTGAAAAGTTTATTATGTAAACAGCTCTAATAATAAACCTTTGTGATATATAATTTCTGACATGAGATAAGGCAATTGAGATTTCTTGTTTATTGCTGAATACATGCCTCATTAGATCAAAGGTCGTCCTAATTTTAAAATTTTGGTATGTTGATATATTTGAAATTCCTAAGATTAAAAATATTTTCTGATAAAATTACATAAGTTATATCACTAATAAAACTAAAAGATACGAATTTCTAGTTAAAATTTTCTGACTTAAAAATTATTAACTCAATGTGATTGTTTTTTTTTTTTTTTATTGATTTCTACATTTTGCAACTATATTTTTAATTATCTTAATTAAAGTAACAAATGAAAAAACAGAAGAAAAATTTTATTTGATATAAATTCAAATACAAAAAATGTTTAAAATGACTTTATATAATATTTATCTTTTGACATATTATAAATAACTTTATTATTATGGTATGTATAAACAACAAACTTAATACTTCCAACAAGATAAAATTCGATATAACTGAAATTGTTAGACTGGAGGTTGTAAAAAAACAAAATTACATAAAAATATGATTATTAATTTCATCAATAATTAAAAATCATCAATAATAAAATTTTAATCATTGTAATCGCAGTTATTTGACTGTAAATTATATATATATAGTTGTACTACTTATTATATTAAAAATGAAAAGAGTGGCTAAATAAAAATTAAATAGAACAATTTATATAAATTTAAACCACTTTACTAATTCATGGGGGTAATCTATATTCATGACATATACATAAGATATGTGAAAAATTATCTGCAAACTTTCATTAAATGGATAATTTTTAACTTTTACAGCAATTAAAGTTGTAATTTAGATGCTTCCTTCTTTTAAACCTGATTAAATGAAACAATTTTAATGCATTTTACCACTACATGACATCACTTAAAACTATTTTAATTAAAAAACGCTTAGATTTGTATTTAGAGAAGGAAAAAAAAAAATAGATAATTTCCTTTTCAATTCTGTATAGGTTTTGTTGGGAATGCCACGTTGTCATCATAAACAGAAACAGAAGAGGGGAAAAAAATCAAAAATAAAAACAGTCAGTTTATCGCAGTTGGCAAACGGGACACTGTAAATTGGAACTGTTTAATAAATATTAGTTGCCAAGTTGTGAAATGGGGGGCAAGGATTTTCCTGCTAGGATACAAACTATGCAGGTAAACTCTAAATACAGTCTACCCCCTATAACACTGTTGATAATTCCGTTTTATATGAATTCCATGTTGTACGAGTCACTTAGATTTTACAAATACGTGTGCCAGGCTGTAAACGGCTCATGTATTAGTAAAATCTAAGTGATTCGTACAACATGGAATTCATATAAAACGGAATTATCAACAGTGTTATAGGGGGGGGGGGGTCGACTGTAAATCAAAGTCGGCAACACGTTAACGTATCGGAAACGAAATATTTAAATGGAAAATTCGAAATAACAAAACAGGTAAAGCATTATCCGTAAACATCTCTCTCTAGCTTCGAGCAAAAATAAGCGCGTTTTTTTTACACTTTTAAACATTCATATGGCACAAACTTTCACTTTTAGCGAGAATTCGCGATTCTCGCTCGGCGCAACTGAATTTTCTACGGAAATAAAACCGAAGAGATACGAGGAAATCATTACAACACCTACTTGTTAACTAGATACATAAAAAGCTAACAAAATGTTTGTAAATGTATAAAATAAAGTTTAACTTACCATAGCCATATTTTATCGCGGATTGTTTCGGCCTGGATTAAAAAAAACTAGTATCTCCGCTTTAGACGGTGTTTGGATACATCTAGTGAGGGAGTTTGTCACGTGACTGATAAAGGCGGAATCGCAACTTTCGTATCATCTCTTCTCTCATTGGACGAATGAGTATGAAATAGGCGGAGTTAACTTTCAAAACGGTAGCTGTAATATCCGCCAGCTCTATTGGATTACTCATCTATATCGATACACATGGAATATGTGTACGTATATATTTATATATTTTGCTATGAGGATGTAATAAAATAAAACTTTCCATTAATTAAGAAAACACAAAACATCCTTATTTCGGTTATCAACGTTGATTTAACTCTTTTTACGTGAAGAAAATCTAACTGTTCCCTTCAAACTGATAACTAACTTATCTGAAACTTAAAAAAAAAATTTAAAAATTCATACAACTTTTCTTATCAGTACACACAATTTTCCATTCATTATAGTCCATTCTTAAACAACAGGATATCAAACAGAGACGTGTCAAGGTTAGCATTTACATATTAAAGTGACGTTGCAAGAAAAATCGATATAAAATGTTCTTAAATAAAAGTTGCGATACGGAATTTTTTTTTTTGTTTCTTCTTTTGAGTTACGGTGAATGTAGGCGGATAGACTTTCACCTGCTTAGATGAAACAAGGTTGTGACCCTCAGGTGAAGCACGTTCCCCACCTTGCAGTTCCGCGTCATTGGATCAGTCAACAATTCTGAGAACTAAATAATCTAAACTAAGATTTAAACTTTTATATAAATTTATATATAATTTTCTAGTTTCTAAAGTTAACTAACATAGGAAAAACGACAGTCAATTAAAGACCTTGGTGACTATTACGTTATCTTAATGGGATGTCATCCGGAAATTCTATAAAAAAGGTTTTGGGCAATCGAATTTAAATCATGATGGTTACCGAATCTAACAGAGAAGAACAGCGTAAGAAAAAAAAATTAATTCATTTAAAAAAATTAAATGATAGAAAACATTTCTTACCTTCTTTCAACGGTCATACGAACTGTTTTCGAATCCGGCAGGACCACTTCCAAATCCATGTTGCCTTCCAGTAGTTCGTTAATGGCACAATCTTCACTAAGATGATGGGCCATTACTTCGTGTGTGGATAGATTCGATATTGTTCCGTTCGTCTTTTCACCTGCCACGCAAGGTGGCGGCGGAGCTTTCTTCATCTTCGGACTACAAGAAAAAATAAATACAAAGCAAGCTTATGATTGTCAGTCATTAATTCACAGAAAAAAAAACAAATAGCAAGATTACAAATTTATACCGGTAATATTTAAGTAGAGAAAATTTTAAAGTATTTTATTAAATCGTTCTACCGAGTTAAATTTTATGTATAAAAACTTTTTTCAAAAATTGATTAAACTGATAACACGAAGGTTTATCGGAACTTTGAATATATCCAAAATTCGTACTGTAATCGTAAATTAAGAACTTTTAAACTGATGGAATAAAAATTAACTATAAAATAGAAAGGGTAAAGAACTGAAACATATATATGTTTCAATTTCAATATATATATATAGGCCTATATACTTATATATATATATATATATATATAAGTAAATAATGAAACTAAATAGGTTCAGAGTTTTTGTTTACTGATCGTTTACAGCAATAGATTTTTAAATAAGTCAAGAATTTACATTGATAAGATTTTCGATATTTCATAAACACTTTTTTCTGAAGATGACGTGGTTTAGGTTTTGTGGTAAGATCATAACAGTTTTCGTGATGATAAAAAAAATGGGATTTTCCTTGAAGAAATAGTGGCTCCAAGCTCAGAGCCGGATCTAGAACTGAATTTGAATTAGTTTCATACTATTTCAGATCAAGTTCTAAAACATTCGAAAGATCTCTTGCTATTGATATTTACTCTATTGTTTTTTAACACCTAAAAATGTTTGAACACAATCCAAGAGTCATTCTAAAATTTAAAACAATGTTTTTTTTTTAAACAAACTTTTCAATTATAAAAACATTTTTAAAAAGGCAGGAAGAACGCATTTTTGAATCTAGGAGTTTTCATCCCGCTTCAGAACAGACATCAGGATATTTCATAAATCCCATTCTAGTGACTGCGACCTTGGCAAGTAACTGACGTCACGAAGGTCAATCCAAGGACGCCCCAACCGAGAGATGGAAGGGAATGCCTCCCTTCCTTCAGTTCATTAAACGACTAACCAAAATAAAAAAAAAAAAAGGGAACAACTTCCATTGAATCGAGACTGGTCGTGATTATGATGTATCGGTCGTCGAGTTTGAAGAATCTTAACATTAAAATCCGATTATAACAATAGAAAAAACGTTTCGCTAACCGTTTTCGATCGTATAGTTTTTAATTTCCCTTAATGTCGCCTCGCGTTATAAAACCTGTATCACTATTCTACCGCCATTATTTCACAGACAAGTCCACGTTCGTTTTCAATACAGAAAGAACACAATATTTAAAATTTAAAAAAAAAGAAACTAGACGGCACACATCTATTATATCCTAAAAATGTTTGAACACAATCCAAGAGTCATTCTAAAATTTAAAACAATGTTTTTTTTTAAACAAACTTTTCAATTATAAAAACATTTTTAAAAAGGCAGGAAGAATGCATTTTTGAATCTAGGAGTTTTCATCCCGCTTCAGAACAGACATCAGGATATTTCATAAATCCCATTCTAGTGACTGCGACCTTGGCAAGTAACTGACGTCACGAAGGTCAATCCAAGGACGCCCCAACCGAGAGATGGAAGGGAATGCCTCCCTTCCTTCAGTTCATTAAACGACTAACCAAAATAAAAAAAAAAAAAAGGGAACAACTTCCATTGAATCGAGACTGGTCGTGATTATGATGTATCGGTCGTCGAGTTTGAAGAATCTTAACATTAAAATCCGATTATAACAATAGAAAAAACGTTTCGCTAACCGTTTTCGATCGTATAGTTTTTAATTTCCCTTAATGTCGCCTCGCGTTATAAAACCTGTATCACTATTCTACCGCCATTATTTCACAGACAAGTCCACGTTCGTTTTCAATACAGAAAGAACACAATATTTAAAATTTAAAAAAAAAAAAAAGTAATTTACTGACGTACTATACGTTACATTTAAAACAAGGATGCATTACATAATTTAATAAGATCATAACATTTCCTCGATTAACATATAATATGCAGAATTCGATTTGATCAATCTAAATTTTTATCTGTTGCTTGAGAAAAATCAATGTTTTTGGCAAACTAGTGCATTGGCCATTTTAAAACCCGTTAGTTCACAACAGTAATCTAAAAACGAAATCATTAACTGTAGTTTGACTTAGGATGGTTTAGGATTCGGGCTTTATTAAAGTAAAATCTAAAAGATTAGTTGTTTCTTATATTTTAAATAATATCCTTAAAATACTTGCACTCTTCAATTTCATAAAGAAGATTTAATTAACATACGATGAGCATTATTCAGATATCTAATTACGAAACGCAAGAATTACAGCCAAGATAGACAGGAAAATCTTACGTAAGACAATTTATAATAAGTTAGACTATGCGCCTCGTTAAGAAAGAGACGAGGACACAGGATGTAGAGTTAAGCTCAACTGATGAGGACAAGCGACACTACGAATAATGGTTGACAATAAGATGCCGACTAAAAAAAATTGTGTCATCAATTAAGAAAAAGTCTGAGAAAGGATGTTTCGAGATGTTAAAAGTGCAATTTTTAAACATAACCCACAATTAAATTTTTGGTTTTAGTTAAAGATCGTTCGATGTTAAGTAATTGATTGTTACGTATTACGCAACACTTTAATGATTTTAACAAGGAAGATTTAAATAACCTTGAGGACATATAATGCGACGTCTCGGAAGAGACTCTACTGAAGAGAGATCGACCAATTTCGCACGATTTTTCTCCTATCAATTAATTAGGTAACTAATATTGACAGCCGTTAACTCGTAAATAGAATACCGTACGGCTGAACATAAAAAGGTTAATGCTAATTAATTTCATGCACTGCCAATTGTTCTATTTTCGATTCCGGTTTTTACTCATATGAGCTTTAAGATAATTTAACGCTCTGTTGCCAACAACGTTGCACCAATATACAAGTTCCTATATGACGTAGAATGTTAAGGTATAGACGATGTTGGAAATTCCATCACGTATAATACTTAAACGAGGCCCTGTTTTAGGTAAATGATGTCCTTGAACCTGCACCATCATTTCTCTTCTAATACTAATAACACAACGGTAAAATAGCGTTCTCTCAATCGCGTTATATCCAAATAAATATTTTTAAGATTTAAACTGTAATAATATCGAAGAAAAAACAAAGTGCCATGCCGAGTAACCCTCTCAAACAGTTGTAAAAAGTCACTCAGACACCATTAAAACAGAGATTCAAGTGTACACACAAAAAAACAATTACAAAAAATAAGTTAATCTTTCATCTACACTGTAAGTTTACTAATATAATAGCTATTAAAATCTGCTTGAAAGAAAAAAACATAATCAAATGTAGGTTAAAATGCTGAAAATTACAAATGTTTTAAACTAATTAGTAAGTTTATATTAATAATCAAATTTCTAAGACCTACGATGATATAATAATAGGATCTCGGGAGTTATGCGTATAATAATTTAGAATTCCTTATAAACTGAGATAGACTTAATTCTAAATCTGATTTATTAAATTAAGAAGAAAATGAGAAAATTCTAAAACATACCCCAAGTACGAACGTACAATACATTACATGCGAACAATATTAAGTGAGAGAAACCAACCGCTAACATTTCGCACGTGTAGCACACGTGACTAACAGGCTATTTTATGACGTCACGAAAAAGAATACGAATAATTTAACACTGCAATATTAAGAATTTGTTTTTATTTTGAGTACGATTATTCGCTCGTAGTCGTAGAGATGTATGGTAAAGGTACACGGCTTTAAATCTTTGCAAATTCAAATACTGTATAACAAATCTATTTGTTTCGATACTATCCACTTAAAAATAGTCTTCAATAAAAAAAAAATATTAAAAAAAAGTGAAATTATACTCGAAAGAAAGATAATTTAGGCCGTCGAACTCGTCATATATAACTGTTATTAGAACTTTGTCTTTCAAGATAGGAAAGTCAAGAGCTGCTTGCCCTGGATTGTCCACTTGACAAGACGATTATGATTTAATCGGACTATAGAGCGTTTCGCCAGGGTCAACGTGTCATACTAACTAGCCTGTATAGAGTATCATTATATTATATTGGTCTATGTAAAATGAGGTCAAGATAGTGAATTTACATGAGAAATCGAATCAGAAAACTTTCAGAACTGTCTTGGATAAATTTTCAATAAGATTCACACACATGTGACCTAGAGACGCAATTTTCTAAGTACAAGTCGACCCCCTATAACACTGTTGATTATTTCGTTTTATATGAATTCCATGTTGTACGAGTCACTTAGATTTTACAAATACGTGAGCCGTTCACAGCCTGGCACACGTATTTGTAAAATCTACGTGACTCGTACAACATGGAATTCATATAAAACGGAATAATCAACAGTGTTATAGGGGGTCGACTGTATTATCCGTGTCACAGTTTACATCATCGAATTTGCAAGTGTTAACGCTGTGCTACAAATTTTTGTGTATTTAATATATAGGCTACATTCAGTGTTAGTTTGGTGAAAAATGATGTTCATTACAACTTTTAATAAGTTAAAAGTAGAATTACACATTTACAAAAATTGAAATAAGTTAC